GATAGGTGTGACGGTAATTCAGGCTTGAACCTCTGGCGTCGCTCACAATCTAACGGTGAGTTAGGGTTCGTGCATCATATACCGTGTAACCAATCAGGAGGGGGCAGTAGTGGCTATTACTTCAAAGGCCACTACAATGCAAGTGCTTATAATTAACGTAACTTAGGCAAGGTAAACTAGATTGCTTCAAGCATCAAAACAATATAAGAAGTTCGTTAGTAAGTTTTTGGGTGATAGCAGGTACTACGGATAAGTCCAGGACATGCACAAGGTGATACGGCACAGAATACTGCAGCAATTATTAAAGTCAATGGGGTTCACAGTTGTGACATCAGCAGGAGCAATGCATTAGCATATGGGCTGCAGCTATAGTTGCAGAGTACTTGCAGTTTTGCTGAGTGTAGCTCCAGGAGTGGTGGTTAGAGTAGGTCCTCCTGTCAGGCTGCGGCTGGAGATAGGATGTCCTGGTTCCAAGGAGCTTCCGTAGGGCTGGCTAAATGGTTCGGAATGATGGTTAGCAGGACGTTCGATCCTCAATAGTGGAACGCCTTGCTAACCTTTCGTGGATGTTTAAATAGCCCGTGGGCGTGGGAAACGGACGGAAAGCGTAGTGCCGCTTCCGCGTTCCAGGGGGAACGCATCGGCCGGCATCATAGTGAGGAGGCGTGACGGCGGTTATGCTCTTCCTGGTGCGTTCCACCCTGGAACGCACACTCGCCGCCGGGCGCCGCGGAAACCCTTACAACACGTCTCTACTTCTCTAGAGTCCAGTGGCGGCATGCTTTACACCACTGCATCCGATGCTTTGCATTGCACTTGGTGATTTAAGGCTTGGATGCAGCTGCTCAGCCATGGAAACCCATTCCATGAAGCTCTCTACGCACTATTGTGGTGCCAATCTGAAGGCCACACGAAGTTTGGAGGTCTGTAGCTATTGACTCTGCAGACAGTTGGCGACTTCTGCGCACTGTGCACTTCAGCATGTGCTGACCCCGCTCTGTCATTTTACATAATTACTTAATTTCAGAAGGGCAAACTTCGATAAGTTGTGCAAACTAGTGGGGGAAATAAAATGGGATAACTCATTTCACAACCTAAACTCAGACCAAATGTGGGACTGCTTAAGGGTCACATTCAGTGCAGCTGACTTCTCCCAGTTAACCTTTAACCCAGATATGGCAGAAAATTGTCGGAGGATATTCAGCAGATTAGGTACTGTGGTGTGCGGCTGCGTCAGGGTGAGCAGTACATCGTCCGCGAATAGGCTAGCTTTATATTCCACCCCAGCCATTTCAATCCCTTTAATGTTGGGGTTAGAGCGAAGAAGAATGGCCAGGGGTTCAATCGCCAGGGCAAAAAGAGCAGGAGAGAAGGGACAGCCCTGACGGGTGCCTCTCTTGATTGGGATTTCCTGTGAAAGATGACCCAGGTACTTCACTTGGGCCTTCGGGTCCGAGTAAAGGATTCGCATCCAGGTCAAGAAGGAGTCTCCAAAGCCCCATTTGTGTAGTATATAATATAGATATTCCCAGGAGATGGAATCAAAGGCTCTCTGCAGGTCCAGTGCCAGTATGAAACCAGGGATATTGCGAGATTGGAGGGTATGAAGCAAGTGGATTATTTTGCGTATGTTATGCCCAGCCTGTCTGCCTGGTATGAAACCTACCTGGTCCCTGTGGATAATGTAGGGAAGTATAGAATTGAGACGGGTGGCCAATATTTTGGTGAGAATTTTAAGGTCAATGTTTAATAGAGATATGGGTCTATAATTATTGGGGTTGCTGGGATCTTTGTCAGGTTTAGGTATCATTGAAACGTACGCTAAGAGGGAGGAGGAGTGCAATTGGAGACCAGTTCTAAGTGAGTTGTACATGGAGGCTAACTTGGGGGCTAACAGTGGTGCGAGTTTCTTGTAATAAAGAGCTGTGAAGCCATCGGGGCCGGGGGGCCCTGGAGGATTTTAGACTTTTGATGGCCAGAAGAATTTCCTCTGCGGTAATTTCAGAGTCGAGATGTTCCAGGTCCCACTGTAACACCTGTGGGAGCTGGACGTCCCTTAGGATGTCTTCTGCTCGTTCTAGTCTGAAAGTGCGAGAGGCAGTATAGAGAGAGCTTAAATTATCTTGGAAAGATGACAAAATCTTTTCAGGGGTAGCTGAGAGAGTGCCACCGGGGGTGCGCAGTCTAATGGGGGTTAGTCGGTCGGGCAAGGTATTCCGTTTTTTTGCCAATATGGAGCCCAGCTTGTTAGCCCTGGAGTAAAATCTATGTTTAGACCATCGTAGCGCTTTATCTGCGCCCTGGACTAATAAGAGGTTCAATTCTGCTTTCACCTCTTGCCGTCCGCCCGTAGTAAAAAAACGGACGGACGGCACTGCTACATCTGCGGGTTGCCGTCTCCAGACGGCAATTTTTTTCTGCTCGCGCGCGCCCCCTAGCGGGCACGCACGGGCAGAAAAGACCCGACCGTTGCACACACCCGTTACCGGGTGTTTCACATATAGGCGATCAGCGGGTCCATAGCCCGCCGATCGCCTATATGTGCTCGTTCGCGGCACATAGGACCTGTCAGTGTGCCTTTGTCAGTGTGCCTTTGCTATTATATAGGGGGTTGTTATCCCCCTATATAATAGCAATAACAATAAGTGCAAAAAAATAAATATAAATAAAAAAAAATAAAAGTAACACATAAAAAAGAACATAAAAAAGTAAAATAAAATAAAAGTCACATATAAAAAAAGGGGAAAAAACCCCCCCAAAATGTTTAACTCCCCCACCCCCACGTTTACGCGCCTATAAACGTAAATACGCGTCCGGTGCCCCAGCGCGCAAAAATTACAATTGCGCGTGTAGCGTGTTACATATCGCCGCGAACGTCGCAGTGAGAGCAATCATTTTAGGGCCATCAATCACTGATAACACTAAACTGATGAGCGGTGAAGCAAATATCAGTGATTGATGGCCCTAGACTTATTGCTCTCACTCC